TTGAACAATCTCAGTAAAACTATATTTAGGCAGTTATCTTTAATGACATTAATATTTCAAAGATCCTGTTATTGTTGCTGTGTCCTTTAGATCGAGTGAGGAACTTCAGGAGTCTTACAGTAATGTTATTTGAGCTAATTAATCTGTTTAAACAGATTTGGCAGATTTTAAAGGTATTTTACACCATTTCTTTATAGACCATGTATTGTCCATTACGGCCTTGGAGACTTTTTTTTTACTTTTACTCTTTTCTTATGTATTAAAAACAAGGAATGAATCAGTGCATTCTGTAGCAGTAGGGAGTCTTGACATAAAAGGCTTTATGGAAGTACAGCCTTTCTCCACTCTCCCAGCCCATGTTTAAGAACTAACGTGCAGGACGTGTGGACATCTCTTTGATGTCAGGGTTCGTCTGTGTGGCATCCAGTAAAAGCGTTGGCGCCACCTTTATGCATTTAGACTTAGGTCTTTATCCTCAGAGTATAGTCAGAGTGGAAGAGTCGGTGTTTACAACAGGGAAAAATATTTTCCAGAACTTACGTTATCACTTTTACCAAAGTGGAAGTCTGCATGAACATGCCGAGAAATTAATATTCAATGTTATGTTATATTGTAAGTGTAGTCAGCCTACAAAATATATTTAATATATTGAATTGTACATATGCAGAGTATGGTATTTGTGTATGGAATCTGTGCTTTATTCCTATTTTTTCCAGTTCTTTGATGAGTAGAATATTAAATGTTGTTATGGAAATGAAGATTACTGCTTCTATGGGAAGATAATTATAAAAATAAAATCTGAAACAAGTATGATTATTTTTATTATTAATTTTGCTTTGATTATTTTTTTCCAAGGACACATTCTCCATTATTTTTATGATTCAAGCTATATTATACAAGAACAGTATTTTGTTCATTCTCTTAAGTTATATATTCTGCTCTTTGGGAGTTAAGTACCTTTGGGAGTTACTTTAAATGACTTGTCTTTTTAAGAAACTGCTTACCCAGTTACGACTATAATACCACCCTGTCTGCTACTTGGTGAGATGGAAGGCTTTCGTACATCTTCCAAGAGAAGATTCTTGCATTGAGTTAAGTGCGGTAAAAATACATGATTAGGAGGCTAAGAAAACTAATGTGGAATGGCATCATTCTGCATTTATACATAGATAGCACCTTAATTACCAGTGGATTTACTTAATCATATTTTTTGAGTGCCTACTTTATAATATTGTTCATGTCCTTCATAAGAGTGGGAATCAATATGATTTGATACCTGGACTTAATAGAAGTTGGAGTAAGAGGTAGAAGTAATGCAGAAGAAGGAGCAGATCTTGGATGTAATGTGATTTTGCATTTCTTTTCAGGACACCTTGGAGTGTTCTGAGTGTGATTTTTGGTCACTGGTATTTTGCAGCATTCAGAGAGCCAGCTAGAAGGATAAACAAAATCCATCTTCTTCTACCTTCTTATTGGTACATTAGGCTAGTACCAGTAAAAGGCCCAATATTGACGTTAATTTGATGTTAAATTTAAGGACATTTAAAATGCCTTGGGAGAAAAGACTGAGGCAAATACTGATTTTGAAAAAGAATGAGCCTCTTCTATTTGAGTGTTGTGTTTTAAGTGGCCAAGAGACCTTGTGCACAGGAGGAACATAATTAGCCCCACCTACAAACTAGATTAAATCCCTTTAGAGTTTAAGACTTAAACGTTTTAAACTACATTTCCAATTTTTTATATCTGATTTATATCTGATTTTTTATATCTGATTTTATATCTCCCAGAGCTTTTAAGGGACCTAATTAGAGCAGTCTGAAAACTTAATTTTCAAAATTTTTGCAAGCACTTAACTAATTTGTAAAGCTAATAAATCCAATTTATACATATAGTAAATCAAGTTTTCGAATTTTCTAGTACTGTTTGTGAACTTAAATTCTGAAATTAATCACAAATAATTAAAATGAAAATCAAGTTAATATTTCAGGTTCTCTTAAAAGTTTCAAGAACCTTAAATATAAACATACAGATTATCACAATAAATATAAAACTTATTCCTGACCTAACAGTATTTATTGTCCATGGAGTTCACTTACTTTGTCAACATGAAATACTTATTTAACCTGATTAAGGGGAACTAATTTGCCATCTTGGATAGGCCAAAATGGGACCACAACACAGCTAGATTTCAGAGACTAAAATTTCAGCCTTGGCTGCTAAATTCAGGATGATTTTCCACATACCACAGATGAGCAAACTTGGGCTTTTCTTTGGTTCTTGTACTGTGTCAATGGAGGCAGCAAGCCTGTGCCTTTTAGATAAGGGTTTAGCTTCATGTTGCTGTGGACCACGTACTCTGGACATTTTTAAAACTTGATCCTATGCAGTTTTGAGGTTTTTTTTTTTTTAATAACCACTTTCAACATTTTGTAGTCTAATTTGGATAGATAGAATTCTGCTCCTGTAACTAGTTTGAAGATCATTTCTTTCTCTACCTGATCTCAAGTATTATCTTTATTACTCATTTGGTTTCTACGTCTTTTCATATCTTATAGATTTTAGGCCTTGATTCAGTAGTCCTTATATTGATACGGATAAACTCATAATTCAATAGGCATTATTTTGATAAACTTAATGAAACAACTACAGAAAATGCAGTCTGGTGATAAGGGAGGCATGACTTTTTAAAAAGTATTAGGAAGGGCCAGGTTATGCAACAGGTTTATTTTTATTCATGCTCCATGTGCATCATAAGTCCATGTCTTCCACTCTTACGGCAGGACAAGGGAAAGGGGCCAGAGAGTGCCGGCCAGCAGTAAGTAGTCCATTCTAGAAATGACACACTTGACTTCTACTCTTCTAGTCACAAAGGGGCAGGAACCTTCAGTCTCCACAGGCCTAGGGGAGGAAAATTGGCCACCTTAGGGTCTACCAAATCTATTTAGGCCCTAAAGCTTTTACGGTCAGTTATGTTATATTTTTGTTAACATTTCCTAATTTCATTATGGGATTTTAACAGAAAACAGTAAGTTTAGCAGTTGCATTTAGCTCTGACAAATGTTCTGTGTTATCCTCATTTTCAGGTGAGTTAGCAAACCCAGAGGAATTAATTTATTCTGAATGTTTTCTGTGTTAAGATAACCTAATAGAAGATGTTGCTTGAACTAGTTTCTCGGTTTTCTACTACTTGTTTGAAAAGAAAAAAGAACCTTCAGCAGGTCAACTTGGAGTTTGAGCTTTTTATTTAATTTTTAAGTAGGAATGTGAATAATCAGTTGTTTAAAACAACTGGCTCAGACTTCTGTACATGTGAGTGAAATGTGAACTCCATGAGAGGAGGGCTTTGAGCCGTGGATTTTCTAGAACAGTGCTTGGCACATAATAGGCACCGAGTAAATATTAATAAATACAAGAATAAAAACACTCAACAAATGGTAATTTGTTTGTTTTTATTGAACTGGTCCTGTCTCTGTTTATGCTCTTTGTCATACTTATTTTCTGTTAACCAATATTTATGCAACACTTTTCAAACCAAATAGATGTGACATTACTAAGGTCATGAAAATGTTCTCTAACTTGTGAGATTCTTTGTTCCCCCTGCCCTTCATGCCTGATTTAGAGGGACTGAACATGCTCTGCTAGTTATTAGGCCAAGGCACATTTAAGATCAAAGATGTGCTCTGAGAAATACATGAGCACATGGAAATGCATTCAGCTACCTGCTTCCCAGGGCCTGGTAAGGGCAAAACCATAAAATTGTTGTATTGCTTGAAG